GCAAAAACAGTTAATTCAGGTATATTTGAGTCGAAAAGTCAACGTTTAGATTATCACCAGTTAAAAAAAATTAATTTTTTCCAGGATAAAAGTACGAAGGTTTGTGAAGAGAAGCGGATGTAGGCTATTCCTGTCTACTTTTTTAAAGAGAATACCTCGCACCATGCATATATATTAAGTAGCTGTCAAAAACTTTATCCATTTTTTTTTGAAAATGAATTACCTGCAAAGAAGACTAGAAAACCACAAATATTCTTCATTTTAACATCCATATCCCTCCGAACCTTCAAACTAGATCGGATAAACACTTTTGACTTTCTGATAAGAAATAATCTTCACACGTCTTCTTTTTAAGATTTACCGACTGTTTTTATCACAGCTTATTCCAGACATTTGTATGTAAAATGTTCCTTTTGCATAGGTAATTATGTAATCATAAATATTAACTGATGATGAATATTGACTCATGAAACAAGATTTTATTTTTTTTCATGAAAGGATTAAATTAACTTCTTTTGTCATAACAACACATTTCTATTCTTATTTAGGTTCTACATGTAAATCAATTTGAGATCACTCAAATGTTTTAATTTGTTTATCGAAGCCAAAACTAGAAAACAAAATGAATTACAAAGTTGAATATATACAAACAATAATATTTATTTGAAAAAAAAACTGCATGTGTTTTCATGTCGGAAATATCGTTGTACAGACGTTAAGGCAAAGTTTTATTTTAAAATTTATTTTTTTAATAAAAGAATGATACATGTCCTTTTAGAGATACTCTTTTGTGATATCAATAAATCGAAGTATGCTAAGATATATCAGGTCCTTTTCATATTAATAATATTCATAATTAAAGTGCAATTAAAGGACTTTTATCATAAAAGCTGTTTGTTATTTTGTTTACCCAACTTTTTTTATGGCAGGCAGTAGCTTAGGACATTTTTGTTTATTGAATCTTATGATGTTTATAAGGGGGTCAACTTGAAATACATGTATACTAGTACTGTAACTTGTGAAAGTATACAGGGTTTGAATTCTTATTCTAGTATGGTTGACCCTCTTTTTTCCTATGTACATCACGTTACAATGTCATTATGGTGCTGGGGGTCAGATTGTGCAATATTTTGCCTAAGATGTGTAATACTCTATATTTGAATCTCCCTTTCTGACCCTCATTTTTTTCCAAAAAAAACTTTGTTTAATTAACTTCTTTTCGTCATTTGCTTCAATAAATAACATGATTCACTTCTACATGATGTTATTTGGTTTTGCCTGCTTTTAACAAAAATACAAGCTCAGTCGTTTGGCAGGTAAACTAAGGAACATAAAAAAAACCCAAACATTTTGAATTATGACCACGAATCTATTCCTTTTGATGAAAATATTTAAATAATGGGAATTTGATGCACTTTTTAGGTATGAAATTTGAAGCTCGCAATATACACTGTATGAAGGGAGAATCGCGTGTCATGGTCTGGGACTCCTTGGAAGGAGTAAGAAATCAGTGATCTGGAATGTTTTCATAACGATTATTTAAAAAAAACTATGACTCGCTCAAATGTCATACTTTTGCAATAATAATTATCTTATTACAAATATTAATCAAATTGTAAAGCATGAAATCTCTGATTTTAAATTAGAAATTCATATAAAATTCATTACAAAAGTTTACGTCACGACAACACAGTTACTATATCGATTCGAATTTGCGTTTTGAATGTCAAAACAATGCTCTCAAATATTTTTGAAAATAATTAGCTTATTAACCATCTAAAATACTCTTGAATTTTAAATGGAATCAATACATTATAGTGCCGGTAATGAAATGTATGGAGATAACGAATAGTATTCAAACAATACAAATTTTGGAGCAAAGCAAGCACGAACCTCTAAAACATCAGATGTGGGATCAGGTGCCATGGAGGAGTGAGCATCCCATGCTGACCGGTCACACCCGCTGTGTGCTCCTTGTCATGATCGGGAAATAACCAAAAAATCCGTAGACAATTCAGTGTGTAAATAATGGCCTAACAATTAGTATAAAAAACGTCAGTCAGCATTTGACTTTATGATAAATTGTATTTGCTGAAAAGAGTATTGTATCGACCATAGAACTTACGAAATGACGACTTTAAACGAGACTGCTGATATTCTTGTTTCATCAACTTGTTTGTCAATAACTTAACTCGTTTTAGAAATTGTTCATAGCATGCAAAGCATGCTCTTCCGCTTCGAATAAACTGGGAGATATAAACTCCGTATGCAGGTGATGAAGGTATATTGCTGCATAAGTAAGGGAAGTTGAAGATTAAAATGTTAAAGTCATCACGTTTATCACAAAGCTTTGTTGTTAGATTACCATTAACGTCTTTTTCTAGCAAAATATCCAAATATGAAACAGATGTGTCTGACTCTGTGGTATCTTTTATTTCAAGCTCATCGGGATATATCGCATCGACATAAGAATGGAAATAACCATTGTTAATTGACAATACGCCGCCGATATGTCTAAATGTCGAGTTGAAGGCCACAGCAAATGTTTTCTTCTTTTCACGTAAAAGATTTTGAACAAATTCTGCTTCATATGAATACAAAAATAGGACTGCTAATAACGGGACGCAATTGGTATCCATGGAAATTCCAACAGATTTTTGGAACACCTGGTCTCTAAAAACCACATAAATATTGTCAATCAGAAACTCAAGGATCTTTTTAATATCAACTTCAGCGTTTTTGTGTGTACAATCAGAATGCTTTTTAACAAAATAATTTTGCAAATGGCCAATGACAAGGTAAGTAAATTTACGAGTACCATTTTTATTGAAAAAGCAGCTGTCAATGATATCAAAAAGATTTAATTAATCTTGGGGAATGGTTGTAAATCATTAAATTTTCCATGAATTGCATCCTGTGCCGAAAAGAAGGATCGCATTTTGTGGCATAGAAGACCCAAAATGTCACATGCAGAAGATATATATCTGGATTTGTTGTAGATCAAAAGGAAATTAGTATTTCCTGCTGAAAGTACATGTATTGTTTGTAATTTTAATCTATATTTACATACTTTGATAGAAAATAGATAATAAAAACATTCATATTTGTGAAAACCGTTCATTTTGAAGTCACAATAGTCGCTACCTTTTGCCACCTATAGAAATTTACGACTTGTTGTTTATCAGTGATAAGCAAGAATTCATTTTACTTTAACTTATTAATGCAATACATAAGTTTTAGCCACATTGTTGCCTAGTATTTTAAATTTTTCGGCGACTGTTTGTGGTATGTTTCATAGAGAAGCATGGAAGCCAGGCGATAAACTGTGTATAACTCTTAAACATGAAAAAAAATCAAAGCAAATGGTCGAATGTTTCCATTAAAATCAGTACACAAGCATTCATATATCAAGTGTTTATACCCTCCCCTTGAAAAGCGGGAGGTATATAGTGATGGGGGTGTACGTCTTTCCACGTGTACCAATTTCCACCGTAACACTCGGGGGTACCCATTTCTTATCCGCAACTCCTCCTTTACCACTTGATAAAATTTAATTAAACTTTATTAAAAAGTGCCATTGTGCACCTCCTATTTTATTTTTCCATCGGGCAGATAAATAGGGTACTCTTAGCAAAACAAAGACACTGTCATTCTTTCTATTACTTTGGGGTATGCATTTCTTATCCGCAACTCTCTAAACCACTAAATAAAATTTAAAGAGACTCTCACAGAATCTTTCTTAATTACATAGTGCCATTTTGTGCACTTCCTATTTTATGTTCTGATCGGACAGATATTTGAGGTTTCCCATAGCAAAAATATGAATTTTACCATTATATTCATATGGGAGCAGGGGTATTATTTTGTGAGCTCAGTGCTCACAGTAGCTTTAGTTTTTTCTCTCGAAATTATGATACAGTAAAAGTCTTTTTAAAGGAAAAATAACGTGAATTAACGTAGATTAACTTATATATTTATTTAAATATATAATTATAATTATTTAACACCAATCATAACGGAACAGTTGATTGCAAATAAGTAATATAAACTAATTTTTGGACATATTGGGTATTTATCAGGCACAAGGTTGTCTACTGTCGTACTTCTATAGTTCATAATGCAGCATATCGTGCAGCAAAACCCGAACTCGTATCACGAAACTGTGTCGTCAAGGGACGAGTGATCTAGTAGGCAGCAGGGTTCATAAATCAGGTCAGTCATAAATGAATACTTATAGAAAGAGGTACTATAGCGTACTTACTACACGCATATGGCTCAACTATAACATCCAGAAAAGTTCAACATTTTAATTATCATTTTTGTAAATGCAAATTTTACAAGTATCCGGCAAAAATAGTCATAATTATCTCAAACTAGATCACTGAAATTTACTGATTTTGTATGAAATACAAGGAAAATTATTGAATGTGCGTTTAAAAAAACAGATTTGTGTATTTAAACAAACTTAAATCAGAGAAATCAAGAATGGAGTATGTACTCTAGATATCATAGTATGTTATTATATTTTAGCGTTGGTTTAACGTGGTCTTCAAATAAAAAAATGATAATATATTTCATTTATCCTGTTTTTCAAAACACCCTATGTTATACAGTGCGTATTGTGGGTTAGTTTCTAATGCTGACGAAAATGAAGATGAAGCACACTGCCTTCGAAATCTAACTGTTTTTAAGAAAGAAGGAAACAAGCAAGGCTTCCACAGAGTACTGTGTAAGAATTTAAGTCTTTATTTTAAAAATATTGCCAGCTCAAGAAAAACTCATCAAAATCGGATTTTTCCTCAAAGGCAATAAAATATACAATACACCAAGGTAACAATACACTGTATCCTATTTAAAAAATTGTGTGTTTGATACATTTGTGCATGGGACATTTTAGTATTTAGTATGCAATTTGATTAATCATTAATTTAATGATAATCAAAATTTATTGTTCTCCTTGTTTATTGATATGAATGATACAACATTTTATTATTCCTCTGAAATACTCAGGCTTTAGAATAATAGGTGGATTTTTCCGGCACCTGTCCGGCGTTACATCCGTCGGAGACACAACAGAAGTGACAGCTGTATTGTCCCGTCATTGGGACACTGCCGTAGTTGATACAGTATTCCAGATCTGACGTTTGGTGGAGCCACTTGTTTCGGCATTCCTCCTCCGTCACACACCTAGTCAATTAAAAAGAGCATTAAGTCTTAATAGACTCCTAGGTGTCGAAGGTACCCTTACAAACATAAACTTTAGTTAATTATACTTAACTATAGTATCAAAGTTTATACTTTAGTGTATCAAAAGTTTCACTATAGGTAAATCAAAATTTTCTTACAATGGATTTGAGATTGTTTTATTTTATGTTCTCTTATTCATACATCAATTTTTTTTTAAATAGAAATTTTACTTCTTTATTAACATGAAACATGGAGATAACGAACAGTATTCAAGCTCAAAGTCCATTTAGACAATGCGAATTGGAAGCAGAGCAAACACGGACTTCCAAAAACATCAGAGATGGGATCAGGTGCAGTGAGCATCCCCTACCGACCGGTCACACCCACCGTGTGCTCCTTGACATGATCAGAAAGAACGGAAAAATCTGTACACAATTCAGTGTGTAAATAATGACTTAACAATCAGTATGAAAAAAGTTAGTCAGAGTTTGACTTAATGATAGGTTGTATTTGCTGACAAGGTCATTGTATCGACCATAAAATTTGCAAAATGATGACTTCAAACGAGACTGTTAATATTCTTGTTTCATCAACTTGTTTGTTAGCTTGCCTCGTTTTAGAAATTGTTGATACGCAGAGCATGCTCTTGCGTATCAAATCGACTGGGAGACAAAAACCCCATATGCAGGTAATAAGGGTATATTGCTACCTAAGTAAGGAAGTTGATTAAAAAATTGAAGTTATCACGTTAATCATTAAGCTTTGTTGTTAGATTACCATTTATGCCTTTTTCTAGTAAAATATCCAAATATGAAACAGATGTGTCAGACTCTGTGGTATCTTTTATTTCAAGCTCACTGGGATACTTTGAGTCGACATATGAATGGAAGTAATTATAGTTATTTAAAATTCGTCGTCTATATATCTAAATGTCGAGTTGAAGGCCACAGCAAGTGTTTTCTTCTTCTCATGCAGAAGTTTATAAATAAATTTTGCCTCATATGAATACAAAAATAGGTCTGCTAACAACAGGGCGCAATTGGTACCCATGGGTATTCCAACAGATTGTTGGAAGACCTGGTCTCCAAAAACCACATAGATATTGTCAATCAGAAACTCAAGGATCTTTTTAATATCAACTTCAGAGTACTTGTGTGCCAATCAGAATGCTTTTTAACAAAATAGTTTTGCAAATGACCAATGACAAGGTAATTATATTTACATTTTTCTATTTTTATTGCAAAAGCAGCTGTCAATGATGTCAAAAAGCCTGGACTCTAATTCATCTTGGGGAATGGTTGTATAAAGTGTTGAAAAGTCGTTCGTTTTGATGTTATTGATTTTGTTAATATTTTATGATTTCAAATTTTCTAAAAATTCCTTGGATTTTTTAAGTATCCACATCTGATTTATACCACTTCTCGAATATACTGTTGTACAATACTCGTGAAGTTTCTCCTTCACTGCTGAAAATATTTAAATGAGAAGTAAAGAAAGAGGCTCGGTAGGACATTTACTGGAACCCGCTCTGTATCTTTGTTTGTAAGGATTTTTATGGAGTTTTTGGAATCCAGTAAATGTATGATAATTCAAATTCATTTTGATTGCTGGGAATATTAAAAATATTCAAAGCAAACATATGTTTTGAAGAGGGGAGCTGTGGGTATAGGTTGGATTACCACTCGCAGACTAATTCCTAGTTCCTCTAAAATAAAATTTAAATAATGAGCCTTACAAAGACAATGTTGTTACCTGCTTTGTCAGCGGGGACCAGTACGTACTGATTGTGTTAGCTATCTAATTCTTTTTTCACTTCTGAATTAATGAAGACAGATAGATGGTTTTTATATTGCCCCTCAATTGCTTAACAACATCCATCTGATACATTTAATCCATTCTGACAAAGTGTCAAGGCTTTCTTTTTCATGTTTAGCTCATCATCTGGCGTAATATTCATAATATTTATGAAATTATGATCGAGTTAAGAGATCGTGGTTCTCTAAATGTTGGCCCTCTTATAATAAATAATATACCATATCATTTTCAAATTCAACAGCATTGGAATTGAATTTTAGAGATTTTGAGCTTCAAATCTTAAAAACATTCTACAGTAAAGTGTCATAGTAAATCAAAGTATCAAAGTACGAGTAATCAAAAAGCTCGCGAACTAACTGAATTACTTCCATAAAAGAAATAACATTAGGTTTCAGTGTTTATTGTTTTTAAAGTAGCCCTCTCCAATTCTAATGCACATCTACAACTCTGTTCTACCCTTGCGCGAATCACGAGATCCACACTGTCACGTGACATGCTCCGTAGCGTTCTGTTCACAGAAGCTAAAAGATTTTCCGAGTCTTAAATTTCTTATAATGCAAGTTACTTTCTTATAACAAGAATAGTCCATTTGTCACAAATGGCCAAATCTCGGCAATAGGATGGTCGGATAAGGATATCTTTTCCCAGAATGAGCATGGTGAGCATCACAACCCGACTACTCTGTCTTGGATAACCAAGTTAAAATTCAAAGTTTAATTTTTAAATAGTTTTAACACCCATTGTAGTTTATGAAAAGTGCTGCAATCCTATATAGATTCTACTATTTCATTGTTAAAATCATATTTGAACGAATGCATACTCATAATGTGTACTGGCTATAACATATCGTGGGTACTAAGTATGCGTAAGAAAATAAATCAACACTTTCTCTGAATAATAAATATACCTCTTATGCATTTTTTATTAGCTCATTTGCATAGAAACGCCTATACCTAGCCTTAACTCACATGTGTAATTAATTCAGTTTCAAGATTTCAACAGGATCGCAGCACTTTTCAAATAGCTTAATACTTCTAGAGTTTATTATTAAAAACTTGTCATGATCCATTGAGGGTATGCCCTTGCACTAGATCGATTTGTTAAGACTCTTAGACCATCCTCCAATGTACCTGCATACAAATATACGGAGGTATCCGTTAATTAGGAAATGTACGAGAAATATATGAACAAAATCATAAAGAGGGCATTACATCCGAATTAATGACCTAAAAATCTGCAAATAATATTTTATTTATTTATAAAATACATTTCTTTGTTGTGAAAATATTACTTGATCTGCCTCTCACTGCATACAAACTGCGTAAAGTTTTACGGAATGACGTCATATCGACAAGTGCAGTTCGATCAGAGACTTGTTTAAATCTTGCTATGTGGGATTTAACTAACGACAAAAAGGCATGTTATAGTAAGTTTCGATGTAGTTTAATTATCTCCTATAGTTTAAAATCGCAGATCACTTCATTTTGATGTATGTTTGAGAAATATTAGTTTCTGTGATGTTATAGTAAATATTTCCCGTAAAACTTAGGCCCCGCCTCCTTTTTGTAGCCTTAACTGTACTGCGAAGTTATTATGTGCAACTGCAAAGATCGAATTTCAGATATACGTTAAACTTTAAAGTCGTTCGTTGCTCGAGTACGACTGATTCAATCGTGTTTTGTCACAAGTTATCTATATATTGACGTCATTTTCACATTGTGACGTCACAAACATGGAGCAAAACATTACTTAACATCTGCTATTAAAGAACCTGTCTATGACTATATGTGTGCCAAATTTCATTCCGATCTGAATTGTGATTTTGTAAATATAGAGATAGTTCGCAAACTTTTTGATCACCCCTTGTATTTACTATAGTTAACTATAGTAAACTAGAATTAAATATAGTACATTTTTGTAAGGGTATCTCCATATATTCTATAAGTTGTCAGATGACTATATACATCTATCTTTACTCCTTGCAATTTTTTTGCTCAATCAAAGAAGGGAGCCATTCCTCATTGACTTTATTTTTAAATAAATTTTCAATAATGTTTCTGTATTGAATTATTTAAGAAGTGAATTATTTGAAAAAATTCACAAAATTTCACAAAATGCTGTTTATACATGTAATAAGCTGTCTTTGACCCAAAGATATGAAAAAGGAATGATTAAAGTTCAAAAGGGCAACGCTAACTTGATAGTCATTGGTTGAAATGTATGAAGTTATCACTATTACATGTATATGAAATACGAGAGAGAGTGAGAGAGAGAGAGAGAGAGAGAGAGAGATTATATATATATATATATATATATATATATATATATATATATATATATATATATATATATATAATCTTACTGTTATACACTGACCTTTTAAAGGTTTTTGGATAGGCAGTTCCGTCATGAACAATGTCAGTCATGCAAAAATGTTCATCCGATGCACAGTTCTGTAAATTTCCCAAGTAGATTGTCCTCGTATCACAGGAAATAGATGAATTAGCGTCTCCACATGTATGGCACTTTCTGATGACTTTGATAAATAATGTAAGAATTTAAAACGCATATTTCTATAGATTAGTTATTAAAAATGTTATGAATAAAAACTAATAAAGAGAAGTTTACAAAACTCATCATCATTCAGTAGTAATCATTATGATACACGAGACATCAACAATAACGTTTAAAATCAACATTTCGCCAATTCCATAGTAGTTTTAATAACCTTGTTTGCGACTGAGTCGAAATGTTGAACTTATGTTTATTATAAAAATAATTAGGCCATTGTTTCATACTGACTTGCTATCGATTAGCTCTTTGTGTCCTCCGTAAATGATAAAGTTTGAAATATTGTATAATGATGCATGATAATGGTTATTTTGTTTCATGTCTTAGGAAAGGCAGAGATTGACCAATCAAAATTTAACAATGAAAATTCCGGCCACGTGGCGTGTCACTATGCCTCTTCTGCAGTCTTGGAGACTGACGTTTATTTAAGTTTGTAATTTATTTTATCGCGTATTTGGTGAGTAAAATTATTCTAGCATGTCCTCATTGGTAAAACTTCGGTCGTCATTCTTGGTCACTCAATTGTGCGTCGTTTTCACGAATTTTTGAAACATGGTGATAATATTTAGATATTCAACAGGGTTCTCCATCATTTCAAATTTAACTGTGGCACAAGACTTACGCGAAGTGCTAATATTCACGGTCATTTCGCGACCGATTTCGTGAAGGAACCACGAAATAAATTGAAAAATACACAACCCAATGAATCAATGGTTTAATACGCAACTGACATTTATTATTTGGCAAATTGATCATTAAAATTAATAAAAAAAATAATCAATCGATATCGATTAAACATGCATGTAGTGTAAAAAAAAATGTCTACAAAATATATGCATACTGTCGAAAAGACACCCCCAACACATACGTACTTATAAATAAACAAATATTAGCTTATAGAATCTGAAAATTAAAGTACTAGTAACAACAAGTGTTAAGCATTAAACCCTATTTTTTAATAATAATAATAATAATAATACTTTTTTTTGCAAAAGACAAATTAAAGTGTTCATTAAAGGACAGGTGAAATTCTGGTAAGTCACACAATCAAGCTTACATCAATATATATATTAATTTTGCAATTATCGGTCTAAAGACCGAAATAAAGTAAAACTTGTGAATTAAAAAAATACTTAAGCAGTTTAGAGACATACAATAATATTTTGGTGGATCTATCGTTAATTTTTCAACATTACAAATATACATGATTACGATACACATGCGATGTGTGACTCCAGTGCCAATGCAATTTTAGAGACGTTGTTATCTGTAGTACTATTCAAGTGAATTGATTAATATAAAATTTTCATTAGCAATTATCGTGAAGTGTGGAAAAAATGGCTTGTCTCTTTTTATTTAATTGTCCAGCGAGGTCTAGAAGATAATTGCTTGTGCAAGCCAATCAATGGGACCTAATTAGAGTAAATTGACGGTTTAGCATTAGAAAATGGAAAAAGGTACATAATTTTGAGATTCCTTTGGTTTATAAATTTATATATTTATCTTACTGACGACGACGATCTAACTGTGTCGTTAATATTTTAACTGTGGCAGAACTATGGCACTGATTTTTTTTAACTGTGTCGCTAAGGAATTTAACTGTGGCGGGGCCGCCACGTTAAATGGCCCATGGAGAACCCATTTCAAACAAATTATTAAATATCACAAAGTTGTAAACACATGACAAACTGTTTTATAGACTTTTTACTCATTGAAAGAGGATAAAATAAGGTGAAAAGAGAATTATTGAAAGTAATAAGCAATTTAATGGGTAGCTGGGCTATCAAAATACTCATTGCATTTATATGAAAAATTATATGAGAGCTTTAAAATTTTTTCCATCGAACACTGTGAATGAAAGAAATTACTCTGGGAGGGTTAATATAGCATTTTAGACTGGTATTCTATAAATTGTGAGCACAAGTTTTGTAAGAAGGGAGAGTTCTCTTGCGGTTAACTTTAGTAACATTGTAGCAATTGTTAATAATTACCTTCCACTTATTCAGATCAATACTTTGAATGGTTGTTTAAATGTATGTTGCAATATTGAACATTAACAATGATCTTTTCTATCTCTATGAATTATTACTATGATAATATATACATGACATTTATTTAATCACTGCTTTTTACTAAAAAAGATTTTAATGGTAACCTAACAACAAAGCTTTATGATAAACGTGATGATTTCAACTTTTTAATCGTCAACTTCCCTTACTTATGTGGCAATATAGCCTTATCACACTGCATATTAGGTTTATTTCTCTCAGTTGATTCGATACGCAAGAGAATTATCTACGTATGAACAATTTCTACAACGAGGTAAGTCATTGACAAACAAGTTGATGACACAAGGATATCAACAGTCTCGTTTGAGGTCATCAATTTGCAAGTTTTATTGTCGATACAATGAACTTGTCTGCACACATTTTCTCCTTTGATTGGAATTTGAGGAATCTTATACCGGACTGTACATTTTTACCCTGATTCAACTTAAAACTTTACAAATATATAGTAATTTAACAACTGAGCTGTTGAAATTTGTGCAGCAATACCAGCACTCCTTGGAATATTTTGCTTCTATATATACCTTGTTTCAGTTAAATAAAATAGAGCACGGTCTTGCACCGAATAATTTTTGTTAATGTCCTTTATAGTCTTTTGTAGTAAAGAACAATGACGTCATAATTTGACGTCATAATGTGTACTGCCTATGTAATGTCGTGGGTACCAAGTATGTTTACCAATAAGTTTTAACTTTCTCTGTATAATGGATATAGTCCTTAGGCATTTTAATTAGTTTATTTGCATAGAAATGCCTATTCCTAGCCTTAACTTACTTGCGTAATAGATAGGCCATTATTTATACACTGAACCGTCTACGGATTTTTCCGGGTTTTTTTTGTTCATGACAAGGAGCACACGGCGGCAGGGGATGCTCACTCTTCCATGGCACTTGATTCCACCTCTTAATTTTGAGGTCCGTGTTTGCTCTGCTCCAAATTTGTATCGTTTCATTGGACCATACGGAATGAAATGGATTTTAAGATTTCTTGTGACTTTTATAAACCTTCCAAACACATAGGTACCTGAGAATTACCCATTTAAAGTTTATTTCACGCATTATATGTTCCGCCCAAAATCTCAGGCGGAACGAGCTCGTTAGAAAATGGCCTTCGGATGTAAGAGTCCGAGGTATATAAGGAGCGTAGGGACTTTAACCGAGGCTCTTACTTGTAGGAGTAACCCGTCGTGTGCTCCTTGTCATGATCAGAAAAAACGGAAAATTCCGTAGATTATTGTAAATAATGGTCTTACAATTAGTATGAAAAAGTTCAGCCAGCATTCGACTTAAAGATAGACTGTATTTGCTGACAATGTCATTGTATCGACCATAGAACTTGCAAAATGATGACTTTAAACGAAATTTTTGATATTCTTGTTTCTTCTACTTGTTTGTCAATAGCTTGCCTCGTTTTAGAAATAGTTCGTACGCAGAGCTAAAACCACCTTATTATGCGGTAGACCTGTCCGCTATGTCAGTGGCTTGTAGATACTTTGTTGATTGATTGTCTTTCTGAGTTTCTATTATTGGAAGTGCCTCCTTTTTTACCTTTCATAAGAGTATTTAAGGAAAGTAAACATCTTTTTACCTATTCTACAAGGAAAGGTAAAATGATGTCATACATGTTTTGAATGTTTTGAACATGTTAGTTCTTGTCAAGATTATAGTTACTTTTATGCAAATTTGAAACTGAATTTACACAAATCTATCCTCCAATCATAGCTGTAAACTCTCAAGTAGGAAACAAACTTCAAATAAAAGGGAAATGAAGTTGACATTTATCTAAGGTAAAGTCGATATAACTTGACGACTGAATTAAATGTAGTTTTGATTCAATATTTTTACCTTATGTGGAAGTTATACTCTTGCATAATTTTTATTTGTTAGCATAATGCAAGCTAACAAAATACATATATATCTTTTATGTGAAGGCAAATATTATATTCAATGGATCTATGAAGAAGGTGAATATAAAACAAGAGGCCCATGTGCCACATCGGTCACCTGAGCACATTGGCTAGGAAGAAGCAGAAATCAGTTCAGTATTGAATGGGACGGTGGGTGGGGGCACTCTTTAATTTAATTAAACTTTAATTTAAACTACCTCAGGATACTTCCGTATCAATATTACTTTTCATGGCTAAATTTGCTCTTCTTAAAAGAAGAATTTAAAACTTTTTCCCTATGCTTTCCTATTTAAAACTCTGATCTCTCATTGTGCTCCCACCCTACACACCCTAAATTTGAAAAAGATTTGAATCTTCACTACCTGAGGATGCTTCCATATATATAAATATGACTTATCATGGTTTTGCTGTTCTTGAGCAGATGAGTTTTTTTTTCAATATGAGTCCTATATATTCTTACTCTGACCCTCTGTTGTCCCCCCAAACCCCTGGGGTAATAATTTGAACAAACTTGATTCTACAATTACTAGGGTTGTTTCTGTATAAATATGACTTATAATGGCCTAGTTGTTCTTGAGGAAAAGATTTTAAACATATTTTCTATTTAACATGTATGATCATGTTCTTACAAGGAATATAGAGGTTTTCCTTTTACTCTGTCTGAGTTAATGATTGGAATGATTTTTAAGAAACCTCTTTCTGAGGGTATATCACATAGTACTTAACTTATTTAACTCGTATCTAGAGATGAGTACTGGGTAAGGTACTACTTGCACCGTGTTTTTCCCTAGGTTCCTATTGATAGATAAGAACCGGTGTTTTGAATCTTCTTCAGATTTACTACACACAGAACTTAACATAAATTCCTTAGGACACTTGCCACTGGTGTTTATAACTTTTATACTTTTATTTTGCTCTTACCCTTAGGGTTTTCCAACCCTAATAGGACCAAATTTTTTATCCTTGAATCACATACTACTCTAAATATTAATTTAAAGCATTTTACAGTAGAAAAGGATTTACCAAGAGAAAGTTTCAAAAATGTAATTAACTAAACAGTAATTAATAAAAAAAAAAAAAAAAAAAAAAAAAAGATTGCATTGAAGTGTATGGGGACAAGCGATTTTTTAAAAATAAAAATTCAAAGAATAAGAATATCAATAAATACTCTAGAGGAAAGATGCATTAAAATAGAATCGCAATCGAAAACGGTTTTTTACCAGACAAGTTCTTTTAAAATTTACTTTTTTATTAATTAAACACACAATTAAACTCTTACCAAAATAATTTAGGACACATCCCACCCTTACAACCTAATAATAATAAATGGGAATTATGTCTAAATATACTCAGTATTCAACCCCAACACATCTGTATTCAATTTCTTTGAATCTGTTGCTATTTGGGATATAATACCTTAACTTCTTTATTGTTGATTCTACATCCAACTTCTTCAGCTAGCTTCTGAATGCCAGACCTTCCCAAAGCTTTGCCTTATATACCCTTTGGTTTGGCTAGTCCATTCCAATGGTTGTTAGGTCATTCCACTATTTGAAGTCTTCAATGTGTTTTACTCAAATGCCCCTTAACCATTACACCTTTATATTCCTATGTAAAACTTTGACCCACTGCTTTGGCCCCGCCCTACCTCCGGAGGTCATGATTTGAACAAAATTGAATCTACACTACCTGCATGAGGATACTTCTGTATTGATATGACTAGTAATGGCTTAGCTTTTCTTGAAGAGAAGATTTTTAAAGATATTTTCTATATATTCCTATGGTAAAATTTGACCCCCTGTTTTGGCCTTGTCCTACCCCCAGAGGTCATGACTGGAACAAACTAGAATCTACACTACCTAAGGATACATGTACTTCTATCATAATATGACTAATCATGGCTTTGCTGTTCTCGAGAAGAAGATTTTTTAAGATATTTCCTATAAATTCCTATGTAAATGCTACGATTTATGATTTTGATATTTAATGTCACATGTTTTTATCGACATGTTGTAAATCCGAGTTTCCTTCATTAATTGGGAACGTTAAGATAACAAATAATCTTATACGAAATTTACACATAAACAGGCATTTCCCATAAACGTAACCGTGTGAATAACCTACTATTTATGTTATTCCGACATTATAAACAGTCGTATGATCCTCCAACTGACATAACTCTAATTAAGGACATACGCAACATAGTTTGAACTTTATTGTCTTTTTCCCAGGAGTTGAAGAGTTCCAAAACTTAAAAGAACTGTGTGCTACATTTTAATGTCTATATATGCTATTGTACACTTCTTCTAAAACAAGTTTGGATAAACAAAACATCTAGAATATATGTTTAGTAATTTTTGTATATTTTTCTTTGATTAATACAAGAATTTTCATCAATTGATATCTTTTCAAAACCCCTGGTAATGCATGCTGATTTTTTGTATACGAACATCTAATGACACTATAATCTTAAGTTAAGAATATCTTGAAAAATTATCAGTAGGTAAGGAACGTTGCGTATGTCCTTAAAGCGGATCTGGCATTGTTTTTAAATACATCGATATCGCTTAGCACGATAAACTTCCGGTGCAGGTCACATTGCGGGAAAAGGGGGGGGATCGTTCGTCATTTCTCTAGCAACGTAATACGATATAAACAGCGGTCAGATGGTCATCAGGAGCATTCTGCTCATTGCCTCAACTGACGAGAACGAACTAAAATTTGGGAATATGGAAAGCAGATGGGTAATTAATTAATTTATCATTTCTTACCCAGTGGTTCTTGAGAAATATTTTTTTAAAAGATGCTACCAAATCTTCACGAATTCTTGATTATCTCCCCTTGAAAGAGGATGCGGTACTTCCTTAGAACGAATTGAAATCTCTTTTATCCAAGGATGCTTTGGGGCAAGTTTTGCTAAAATTGGCCAAGTGGCTCTTGAGAAGAAGTCGAAAATGTGGAAAGTTTACAGACAGACGCCGGACACTCTTTGATCAGAATAGCCGAGAGCTAAAGAAGCTAAAAAGCGGTCAATGATTCAATGTTAATAACAATACAAATCCTGGACCTTGAAAGTCCAGACGTGGGATCAGGTGCCTAGATCTATACAAGACACCATGTTTGTTGAAGTATTTGCAGTACAAACTTGTGTTTCTGAAGATGTTATTGCTGATATATATACCTGTGTATGTTGTAGGACGATTATTCGATGATGTAGTAGTTGGTGGTACAGATCCTGTGCTTGTTGATGTTTTTTCTTCAGTTATTTGGGTCGTTGCTGTTTTCATTGTCATTGATTGCGCCGTAGGTGTAGAGTCTAATAGAAATAAAAAGAGCTTAGCGGTTCCTCTGATTTTTCTTAGAAAGTAATAGTTATAACATTTTTTAATATCTTAAAAATTGCCGAACAATTTTGTCGATCTTTTTAAATAAATATGTATGATTTTTGACGAACATAAATTACAAGGGATGCATTTTGGAAATTTGAGGGTCTACCCATAATTACAAATTTTTCACAAAATTAAAGCCTCCAAAACGGATGAATAGCAGCTTAAGTACTTCTCAAATTCTTGATAATGCTTATATAACAAACAAATCTCTGAAGCAATTGAAGATTTAATTGAATTAAAGACATGCATTGACATATTTACAACTATAAAATAATACTTAATACTGCTTCATTTCTAGTCATTTGGAAACAAATATAGGGCTATTTCTATTTAAAGCATTTTATAATATTTTTTTCAATATGGATATAATTCATTAGCATATTACTGCTGAAAAAATTCAGATTACTGTAAAATCACTTAGACTTATTTTGGTTGGGTCAGATTTTCGTGCTTTGACGAATAAATGTAGGTTCGTTGGGATTTGATTTCGTGGTTGAAGAAATGTACTTTGATTGTACCTTGCCATTTTTACATTTCGTGGAGGACAACATCAATTAAACTCTCACGATAATAAGTGATTTCACAGTATTTATTCTAGTGAAGAATTGTGAAGGTGGAATTTGTAAACCTATAATGTTTAGAACAGACATTTTATTTGAACATTTTAAACTTGGACTATATCATATCTTAATCATTTTAGTTATTAATAGTGAACTTAGTAGTGACAGTAAAATAAAATAAAAGGTTATGAAACAAGGATGTACAGTATTAGTGTACCACATACAGTGACTTTATAATTGGAAAAGGGACTTTATGTTCATGAACTATAATTATCTTGTTAGAACAAATTGAATTTTGTTGTTGGTACAATGAACTATAATTTTGTAAATCATTTTATAATGGAATTGATCAAATTAGACCAAACAAGTTCATCGATACCAAGTAATAAAATTTTAACGGAAATGCAAAGTTACTATTAAGATTCTTGACCAAGAGTAATAAAATTGGGAACTTTAAAGTAGATAAGTAAAAGAGCTTAGGGCTAGAACTCCTGTGGTGCAGAGATTGGAACGGAGTCCATAAATATTATTAAAGTAGGTATACCTGGATTGGAGGGTGGTGCCATGTTGGGGTTCATAGGTCAACGGACAGACCTACGGACAAAGCGTAGGTGACATGGCAATGGTAAGACAGCCAATGAAAAGTATTTTTATATCCCGGACCATGAATACCCTCTGAGCACAATATACCCTGTTTTGCCGAAAAATTCTTTGACTCTTTTGGAATACTTTTTGGACTCTAATTTTTTTGGACCTCACCTTAATTATTACTTTTGGAGTTTTAATTCTACGCTCTTCTTAAATATTTGGGAAGGATCTTTAAAACTTTTGCTAGGTTTAATAAACTTTTCAAAAAACTGACAAATTTTGTTATCGGCTTACACCTGCTAAGTCAATTTGGTGCTCGTTGACCGGGATTTGTGAAGTACGAAGGATACATGTAGCTACTATTGAATAATACAGTAAGATCAGAGACACTTAAGGTGAGACAATTTCTCTTTTCTACTTAACTTTTTAGATGCCCATGTAAATCAAAACTTAATTGAATTTCCTTGTTAAATTTACGCAATAAGCATCAAATCCTAAATTAAAAGGAAATTATTTCATGCATTTACAATGGCAAAGGCTCCAACACACAGGGAACAGCTTAATCGAGCATTAGAAGAATTAACTCAACAAATGTCTGAAACAGAAATGTTAAATACGAGAAATTTGGATGAAGAAAATGAAAAACATGAAAGTTCAGGGTACTTTCCTGATGGGGGCAAAAAGAATGAAAATGGAGATGATGATGATAAAAATATAAAATAATAAATGAATTCTATTTTAAACCAGGTTAAATCATTAACCGCGGCCATTTCAGTACCCATTAATCAGGTCATTACCTATTTTGAGGGGAGTCCTACAAATTTCAAACAGTGGATTAAAGATATTGAGAAATACGCAAAAATGTCAAACATGGCTGGTGAAGATATTCCAAAAATCGCGTATGTAACATGTAAAGGGTCTGTGGGGGACTTTGTTAAGAGATATTTGACAGAAAATTGAAGTTTCGAGTGAATTACCTAGTTTGAATGACTTAAAACATCTTTTAAAAAGTCGATTTGCAGTAATTACTGACCCCCAACACGCATTGGCAATTATGAGAAAAATGAGACAAACTTCCAATGAGAGTGTGCAAGTATTTGCCGAAAGGTTATTACAGGTAGCGGAAGATGCATATTCGCCTGAAAAATCAAAAAATCAAATTGTTCAAAATCAGTTGGTTGACATATTTAGTGATGGTATGTTGTTTGATTTTGTGAGAATGAAATTATATTATTACGGAGAAATCCAAAAACTTTTGGAAAACGCAGTTCAAATGGCAATGCATGAACAAAAACTGCGTACTAAACGTTTGGCATTAAGAACAAATGACACACTTAATGACTCCTTGTCGCATCACCCTTTGATAAATAAGTCAATTCCAAATTTATTTGAAACTCCACATTTTCCAGAAGTCCCATCTCGTGAAATTGAACCCATGGAAGTAGATCACTTCCGCAATCAGCACTGTCACAGATGAGGTAAAGTAGGTCACAGAGCAGAATTCTGTCATGCACAAGTTTTTACGAATAGAAAAAATATGGGAAATCAAAGGAACAGGTCACGCATAAATGAAATTTCAAAAACACCAAACAGGGGGGAATACAATTTACAGTGTTGGCATTGTGAAAATTATGATCATATTAGCGGACATTGTCCTCAGAGATATTCTGGCCGTTTCGATAGGTCGTTTAGACACAGGCCTACATATTACTACTCAAAAAGAAACCCAACCCAGCAGGAAAACTAAGACACTCTCTTCATGTTGAAGCCGATGGAGAGGGGGACAAAACTGTGGTAGAAAAAATGTATATAAGATTTGTTTAACTGGAAATCCAAGTTCTTGTATTATGAAATTGGGGAAAATGAGATATAGGGCATTAGTAGACACTGGGGCTGAAGTTTCGCTTATTAGTAGAAAAATGTATAATAATCTATAGGTCAAACCAGCTCTGAATAAAAAAGAAAAACCATATCTGCAGGCTGCAAATGGTGAATCACTTTCAGTGATAGGTAGAGCAGACTTAGCATTTTCTATGAATAGGTTACCATGAATCATACATTTTATGTTACAGAGGGACTCGATCGTTGTGTCATTTTAGGACGAGATTGGTTAAAAGCGAATGGGGTCAGAATATATTTTGATTTAGGGTGTTTGAGAGTTGAAAAAACATATGTAAAATTAGAAGATCTCCATATCTCATCTTTAGTGAGAATAAATAAGAAGGTTTTAATAAAACCGCAAATTGCAGTTGGATGTTACGGAAAATTAAACTCCGCCTTTCCAAGAAAATATGAAGGGTTGATAGAGATTAAAAATTTACATGACTGTCTTAATGAGGAACCCGGTTTAATATTTAAAGAGTCAGTGCGTGTAATAAGAAACACGCGTAAGGTGCCAATCATGATCATAAATCAGTCTAACCGCGCGTATCAATTGAAGCCCGGGAGCGCTGTATGTACAGTTCGATCTGTTTACAAAAGAGAGATAAATGCAATAAAAACAGCGGGGGAGATAACAAACTTTAAAACATTGCTGTGACGTCATGCCTATGTTCTTGCAATCTAAAACATTACCTGTAGCCGTCCGATAATAGTCATTACCTGTCCAATAACATATTATCGGACGGCAGTGATAACAAAATCGGACAGTTTTAAAAAACAACATGTAGAGTGAAAACAAGGTTTATTATGTCTAGAAAAAAAAGTTGGGGGAAAAACAAATTTAGGGAAAGCAAACGAAAGGAAATTAAGTTGCTACAAAATACCATGCAAATCCATGAAGAAGAAAATGGAGTTTTAACCCTCCTTAAAAGTAACACTTTCCATTGGTTTTTATGCCCCCGTATCGAAGATTCGGGGGTATATAGTTTCTGCCCTGTCCGTCCGTCTAGCTGTCTGTTTGTCCGCAAAAACTTAACATTGCCCATAACTTTTGATTGGTTGGAGCTATGGCTTTCATATTTCACATGTGTATTCCTTGTGACAAGACCTTTCTTTGGGTACCACCATATTTGATCTTTTGACCTTGACCTTGGAGTTTGACTCAGTTTTGCAAAATTTTATCCACTTTTAACCTTGGTCATAACTTTTGTAACCGTTGGTGCTAAGGCTTTCATACTTCACCTTCACCCTAACGGGCCTCAAACAGTCTGATAATTTTACATATAGAACAGTATTCGGCATATATCCATTACATACATTAGACTTAAACGAAGTAGATGCGTCCGAAAAATATAAATCCTATACAAGGCAACTTGTACAACGTAACAAAGATCTGTTTGCTAAAATGTATAGTGAGTTAGGGCACACTAAAACTGTAACAATGAAAATAGAAACTGGTGACCACCTCCCAATAAAAAACAGACCTTACAGAACTCCGCTAAACAAAAGACAAATTATTGATAAAGCAATTGATAAAATGCTTGATGCAAAAATCATACAATGATCACAATCGCCGAGGTTTTTCCCGTTGGTAGTAGTTGGAAAAAAAGACGGAACGCAAAGAATGTGTGTAGATTTTCGGTCATTAAATAAAATTGTAAGACCAGCATCCTACCCACTTCCGCTAATAGATGATATCCTGAGTTTATTGGATAAATCTAAATATTTTACTACACTAAATCTTAAAAGCGGATATTGGCAAGTTCAACTGCATTTGCTTGTCATAAAGGTTTATTTCATTTTAACAGAATGCCTTTTGGTTTAAGTAATGCACCCGCAGTATATCAAGAGCTTATAAACATTTTTACA